CTTGGAGGTACCTTCCATGGTCTCCCAGAGGATCCTTGGTGGCAGTGAGCCACAGTGCCCGACCTGCTCATCAGCACACCCTATACTGTCTGCCTTCCTTTCCCTGTTTCACCTCCCCGCTCCCTTACCAGTGTTTCTTGGGATTACCTCCCAGATAAACTGCTTGCATTCAATCCTTGTCTGTCTGCTTCTGAGGGGAGCCAGCCTAAGATATAAACTGATAAAGAGAGGTTAGAGGGAAATGAGAGTCATTCCTGGACACAGAGAGAGAGAGTTTCAAAGAGACACTGGTTAGCATGCTTAACACATTGACTGTCACACTAGAAAGAAAAATTTTTTCCTTGGGGCCATGTTGTTTTATTACGAAAATAGAATAAAAACTTTGAAAACAAAACGATCCTTTCTAATTTAGTGAAAAATTTGTTATTTTTTATTGTTTTCTGTGCTTGAGTTATGTGCAATTAAATTGTCAATATTAATTGTAACAATAAGAACATCAACAAGTATCACGAACCAACTGCAGGGTTTTGCCCAGGGGGTCACCCATAAGGTGTGCTACATGTGTGCTACAGCATGGCAGCGGGAGTTGCCTGCACACCACTCGGCTCCCAAGTTAAAGAGACGTGTGAGTTACATATGCTTCATGAGGCCCCTGGCTCAAAACTAGCACGAGTTAAATACAACTCACATGGCAGTTAATGTGTTAAAGACTACAGGGAGGAGTTGTCCTACAAGGCCATCAATGACCTTGGCAAAGGGATAATGAGGAAAGGCAGATTTCTGTAGGTTTAAACAAGGTGAAGAATGGAAAAGCCCAGGGATTATAGACTACTTTTTAAAATCAGTAAGGTGATGATAAAATGATAATTAGAGGAAGACACAAGATGGAGGGAGGTCTGTTATAATGTTATAGGAAAGATGAGCATAGTTAGATGCTGAGTAGAAAGAGCCAATAAGGAAAAGCTGAAAATATAGGAAAGAAGAATGGTAATTTGGTGGGCGAGGTCCGCAAAGCAATGGGAGAGAAGGGGACACAGGAAGACTTAACCCCAGGTAGGAGGAGAGATACCTCTCCACTCAGACAAGAGGAAAGGAGGCAAGGATGAGAACGTGTAAAGACAAGTTTGTAGCCTTAAGATCAAGGACTAGAAAAGATTCCTCCTAATAGTTTTGTTTTGTCTTTAAGTGTAAGAGCCAGAATGGGTTGGGGGAGTCACTTGAGGGGACCAGACAGGTTTGACAAAGCTGATCTATGGGGTGGGAGAATGCTGACAGGTAGGACCAATCTGATGGGCATGGGGAGGGGCCTTGCCACAGTCAAAGGCCACGGATGTGCAGTGGCATTCATCCAAACAGCACTGCCATTCTCCCTAAAACTCTCAATGTGTAGGAACAGAATTTGATTAATTAACTGTTAATTAATTGTTAATTTGATTAATTAACTATTAGATTTTGCCAAGTGGATGAGACTTAAAGTCCAAGGTTCTGGGTGACTGAAAGTGTTAATTGAAAGAGTGGTCAGGGGCTGAGGCTAGATAAGGGAGGAGTGAAGACAGGAAGGGCTGAATGTGAGAGGAGAAAGTAGACGTAGGGGATGTAAGAGAGTAAAGGCAGGCTGTGGTCACAGGTAGAATAGAGAAGTTTAAGATTTCAGAAAGAAGCCTGGTGTGGTGGCTCACACGGGTAATCCTAGCACTTTTGAGAGGCCAAGGAGGGAGGATCGCTTGAGCCCAGGAGTTTCAGACAAGCCTGGACAACATAGCAAGACCCTGTCTCTAAAAAAAAAAAAAATTAGCTGGATGTGGTAAGGTGCACCTGTAGTCCTAGCTACTTGGGAGGCTGAGGAAGGAGGAATGCTTGGGCCCAGGAGTTCAAGGTGCAGTAAGCTATGGTGATGCCACTGCACTCCAGCCTGAGTAACAGAGCAAGACTGTCTCTTAAAAAAAAAAAGATTTCAGAAGGAGCAGTTCTGGAGCAAGTGTGACTGATGACCGTGGAGTAATGGGTGTGGAAGCCTGGAATAGCGAAGATGATGAAGAGAAAGGCTAAAGGCATGTAAGGCCAGGGGTGTTGGGTGGCTTGTCTGCATGAATGCTGAAAGAAGAGTGGGTGGGGATTTCGAGTGGAGAGGAAGGCTGAGCCAGAGTGGAGAAGAGACCAGGAGTGTACACAGGAGTTAACAGGGGACGGGCGGGCAAGGGAGTGGAGAGGTAGACTGTCCTCACAGACGTGCCGAATCTGTGGGCTCTGCAGCTGGGCTCCGGAGTTCATAGTCTTGGTTCTGTTACTCATTAGCCATGACACCCTGCGCAAGTTATTTGACTCCTTAGTGGAGATATAGAGCCCGAAATCAGAAGTGTGGGATACCTGAAGTCTGGGAAAAATGAGCCCTTTCATGGGGAAGGGTGTAGAGGGGAAAAAGGAAAGATCCCAGAGCGGACTATTGAGCAATGTGGAGTTTCGGGAAGACCAGGGAGATATTAGATGTCAGGCAGGTTCACAAGGGAATGGAAAAAAGCAACAGGAGGTTGAAATTGGGTTATTTTAGGACTGGTGCTTTTAGGACTTAAGCAGTTCCTAGAAAGTTCTGATGCGTTCTCCCACTTGGATTCTGAAGCTCATTCTTGAGCTGATGACCATCTCAGGCACATGGCTTTAGCACAGGCTTTTGAACAAGTCACTCCAGGGACATATACTGTTACCACTGCTATAAATTCATCCACTCTGTTCTTAACCCCCTAAATGAAACCTGCCTGTTATCCCCTGCACCCGTTCCAAGCCACGTCCCAGGACATCGCTCCCGTGGCCCCAGCCACACACTTAGCACTCAACTAAGCGTTGCCTTTCGTGGCCGTTATCTTTACAGTAGCTAAGGTAAAACTGGGAAGTGGTTGCTATCTAGCCTTGCTTCCACCAAATGCTGGACTGAGGGGTCCCCCTAGAAACCAGATAATGGCAGATTTTCTTGGGAGCACTAAGACAAAGTAAATAAACACACAGAAAAAATAACCAAAACCTCAAATATCTTGGTTTGATAGCATTTTCTTGTATGCGAATGGGAGTGCCTTGGCAGCCATCAGGTTTGCTATACCTTACTTTGTTAATATGTTGAGGTCCACATCATAAGCAGTTTTACCTTCTCTTTATCAAATCTGCCTGCTGCCACGTGCAGATCTGCTCTCTCCACTTCCCTCTCCCCTCACTCTCCCCTCACTCTCTCTCCACCCAAACCTTTGTGATTAAAAAGAACAAGTGAGTGACGAGTGAGTGGAGAAGGGCTTTTGAAGGAGTGGCGGATGGGATAATTCTGCTGATAACTACTGACATTTTTAATTTTTGTGCCTCAGCCTGGCCCTGTTCCCACCCGTGGGACCAGAGAAAGAAAGGTGTGAGCAGCTTCAGCTTCCAGCCCTTCCTTGCCTGAGTCCCCAGACAAAAGATGTGCCGTGGGCGTCTCCATCACCACCACCCTGCCGGGCCCTGGCGCTCTGCTAAAAAGGCTACTTGGTCAGGGAACCTTGGAATGATAAAGCTGGATGGGGAGAAACACATTATCTCTCCCCTGCTGAACACACTGGTGTCTGCACTTGATGATCTTTTTGGAGATACCTAGAAATAGAGCAAATAAAGGAGGCAGAACAAAATTCATTCTTTCTTTTTATTAGACAGTTCAAATTCAGCTGAAGAAGAAGCAGTACAACTCAACTGAAATATACGTAGTTGAGCTTAATTTATTCAACAGAGTTAGCCAATGGATCATCAGCTAGGTTGGGCATCAGGCATGGCAATTTATTCAACAGAATTAAACAATGGATCAGCTAGGCTGGGCATCAGGTGTGGCAATGTATTCAACAGAGTTAGCCAACAGATCAGCGAGGCTGGGCATCAGGTGTGGCACAGTGAACAAGACAGCTTTGGCCCTTGGGGAGCTTACATTCCAATGCAAACAGCAGAAAATTTCAAGTTGGACAGATACTTAAAATGAACTAAGCAAGGCGTAAAGTACAAGAAACAAAGGTCTAAGCTTTCCTATTTCTTCACAGGTAACAGTTCGCCTAATCTGAGGGTGGTACACATCAACTAGGTCAGTGGTTGTCCCATGGTATTTAGGAGATTGATGGGTTGTTGGTGGTCTCATTATAGTGGGGGACTATTACCGGCATTGAGCAGATGCAGGCAGGGACAAGAGATGTCCGGTAGAGGAGTTTGTCCCACACAACGAAGAATTATTCTGAACCCCGTACGACTTTCTAATGTCCTGCTGGACATTTATGTAGGACCCTACAGCTTGTCTGAGAGAGTTTAATTCATTTGTTTCCTCTGAGACAACCTGTAATTGGTTTTGTCCTATTACTCTTATTTCAAGTAAGGAAATTTTGTTATTTCCTTTGCCATATACAGATAAGGTATATGGTATGTTTTCATTTATCCTGATAACTAGTTTTCATTCTAGTGTCCCCCGTACCTCTAATCTTTCATATTCCTGTACTTCTTCACAGGAGGCAGCCTCTGATCGGCTCTTAAATCCAAACCTATTCATTATAAGTAAGAGTAAACAATCTATTTCATGTCTTATATGGCATAGTCATGCCTGTGCATTTACATATTGAAATTCATTTATTTTCATTACAAATTTCTTACCTTCTATTTTTCCATTATAATAGAGTTAGGGCATTAAATTGATTTTTTTTAAAGAAATTCATGTGTGGCCGGGCGCGGTGGCTCACGCCTGTAATCCTAGCTCTCTGGGAGGCCGAGGCGGGCGGATTGTTTGAGCTCAGGAGTTCGAAACCAGCCTGAGCAAGAGCGAGACCCCGTCTCTACTAAAAATAGAAATAAATTAATCAGACAACTAAAAATATACAGAAAAAATTAGCCGGGCATGGTGGCGCATGCCTGTAGTCCCAGCTACTCGGGAGGCTGAGGCAGGAGGATCGCTTGAGCCCAGGAGTTTGAGGTTGCTGTGAGCTAGGCTGACGCCACGGCACTCAAAAAAAAAAAAAAAAAAAAAGAAATTCATGTGTGTAAGTAGATTGTATCATCTATGAATCATCTCAGGACAACAAAGAGGATGTTACAAAATATCTGCTCTACAAAGGACGAATAGGTCTGACAGTGCTTGTGGTTGTCACCATGATTGGGGGCGGGGACGGGGGTGCTACTGGCATTTAGTATGTGAGAGCCAAGTATGCTGAACATCTTGCAATACGTTGGACAGTTCCTCACAATAAGAAATTATTTTGCACCCTATACGAACTTTGAATGTCTCACTAGACATTCGTGTATGACGACAGCTCGTCTGCAAGAATATAGTATTTCCTCATTTTCTCCACTTCGGCAATCTGTAAATTTTCTTGCATACTATCTTTATTTCAATTAAGGTAACTTCGTTCTGTCTCCTATCATATACAAATAAATATTATCATATGCAAGTAAGTTGTCATATCCCTAGTTTTTATTCTGATGTCCACTCCTATCTCTGCTTTTTCATTTTCTCATGCTTCTTTGCACAAACTAGTGTCTGAGCTCCTACCTTCTTTGAAGTTCAAATTTATTCATTATAACTAGGTGTACACATCTGACTACTTCATTAGGTCTTCTAGGATAGTTGTCCCCAAGTTATATACCTTTTATTTCCCTTTTATGTTAATATGTTTTATTTAATTTTTAACTTATTTCTAAAATTGTGCGTAGGTAGAGCATATTACCTCTGAAGTGGAGTTGGAGGATAATAAAGAAGACGTATTTGTATTTGTCCTTAAAAAAAAAAGAGGCAAAAGTGCTAACTGAGAACCACTGAACTAGGTGAAAATAGGAGCCACCTGGCTGAAAGAAAGCCAGAGTGGCTCGTGTAGAAGAACAACTTAGAAGGGAACAGAGACATTTAAGAGGTAAAAGTGGATTTGGGAACGGTTTAGATGTGTATTGGGAGGGACAGCAAGGAGTTAAGGGTGACTTCTGGATTTCTGCTTGAGCGGAGGGGTGGATGGAGGCACCATTTACCTACATACAGAATATAGGTAATGATACGTGTGAGGGGGCAGATTGAGAGTTCTGTCTTGGATGTGTAAAGTCAGTGATGGCTGTAAAATATCCACCTACGGGTGCCTAACAGGCAGCCGGAAAGAGTTGGATAAAATGCACCTCTACGATGTGAGGGTCAAGGTCAGGAAATGAACAGTCCAAAATGGATGATACCATGAAAAAAAAATGTGAATGAGAATAACCATTTGTGGCAAGACTCTCAGAAAGTAACCCTATTCTAAAAAAAATCTGTATACATTTGCTACTGGTGGAGCCCTTTAAACCAAGAATTGTGGAAATCTTTGTACTGGTCCAAAATCTGACTGATATAAAATCAACTCTAATGCTAATTAATTAACTGTAATATGTCTGCTGGAAGGAACTATAACAGGAAATGCTGACGACTGGTAAGGAACGTTAAAAAAGGAAAATTGGAAGAAAAAACCTGATTCATAGTAAGAAAAGAGATATTGGTCCAAGCACGTCCCCTGCTCTAAAAACTGTACTACAATTCCATACAATCCGCTACATTTAGAAATCCGTTATATTAAATAAAAGGTATTAAAATGTATATTAAATAAAAGGTATCTCATCTCCTTAGGAGGCCCGTCCTTCAGTAGGGAGGACGTCCTTCACTAATTTCTTGGTCAGGCTCATCTGCTGCAGCGAACAACTATAAAAGCACTAGTATTTATCAGGCATGCTTGTGTGAATTTGGTTACGGTGATTCTGTTCCCTCAAAATATATGAAAGACAATTTCATGAAAGCCTGACCTGATAAAAGCCTTCTCTGTAATCACATCAGTTACAACAAAATGTCTACTTTGCCATCATTATATAAAGAGCCCAAAAGGGCAATAACTCCAGTTGGTTGCTTCTCTCTGAGCCACACTTGGCATTCCAGGAGAAGTCAACCTGGATGGAGTTTGTCCCCCAAACAAGTGGAGCGATAAAGAAATGTGTGATCCAAATCAGTTTCATCACAAAGATAAGGTATAGTACTGCAGCCATGTCTACAATAACATTTAAATTTCACTTTTCACTTTTTTTCCCTAGCCTGTGCCCAAGCATTTGCTCCCCAGTTTTTCACAATCTTTCATCCAACAATGAAAGACATTTCTTATGTCCTTATTTCAAGAGGCATTGTTAGAGTTCTCTGAAATTTCCCAAATTAATTTTCTTTCAATTTAACCAAAACAAAAAGCCATGCCATACTGCACACTAAATGAGTAGATGGGAGACATGTAGCTGCAATTACAGAAAATTTACAAATCAGCCTTTACCAATTAGATCTAAAACAATGCAAACTTTCCAACACATTGGAATCATCAGGAGAGCTTTAAAAAATATGGCCCACCCTCAGAAACAGTGATTTAATTGGCATGGGGTGCAACCTGGGCACTGGAATTTTTTTAAAGCTTCCCGGATGATTCCAATGTTTAACAAAGTTTGGGAATCACTGATCTAAGACATCGGATAACTGGGCAAGGAAATATAAAAGTTTAACTACAATCTGGGAAAATTTGGTTATGTAAGAGAATAGAATGGTTATGGCATCCTTAGGACACTGTACTCATCAGTTCTAACTGATCACGCAGGCTTTGTCTGCTTCAGTATATTCAATTACATATTGTGGGTAAATCTGATCTTTCTCAAATATGACAAAAACGGAGGGATTCAAACAAGTGTCCACACAGCTGTCGTACTGCGGTGGAGGGCTTGTGTACGTCTTATCTCCTTCAGTAAAATTTCCAACCAGGACGCGGGCTACAAACATAATGATGTTTCTGGCATCATATGGGCAATTTTTGTGCGAATAGATGGCATCTTTTGCGAAGTAATTTCCTAGAAATAATCAGGAAAAAAGGTTAAGAATTATTATAAAAGAGGGTATCTAGTTTATAAGATTATTTACACATAATCAGATGAAGGACATGAACTAAGCATATCAATAATATCTTACTGATATGCATAAATGTTCCTTTGCACTTTAAAAAATGTTCATAATACAGTGCAGGGCTCACACTGATGGGGTGAGCCATCGGGGCAAAAAGCAGGTGGTGATGACAGACATAGGGGCCCATCTACACAACTCATGCAGGATGAGTTGAATGAACCGAGTTGGAACCCATGAGCCAAAGATACTGAGAGCAGAGGCCACTTTATATTGTGTACATTTGAAGGAACAAAAGTCATTGACTACTGATGGAAAGGTCTTGGGAAAGGTCAAAGGCAGGGCTGTAGTGTGGGCAAGGAATCGACCCTGACAAAGCTTTTCAAGACAGTTGATGCACCGTTCTCAACTCTAAAACAACCCCAGATAATCACTGATGCTTCCATACCTAACAGCGCCCATACGTGTCACTGCCAAAATAAGCTATGGCCAAAAACTGGGAACACATACATAACATATTTCATTTTTTAGGATAAATATTTGTTTGAGTTCTGACATAAGATAGACCCACGAGAAACTGATGGGTTTAAATTTTGCCCGTATTATATGTCACTCTAGACGGTTGTTAAACTTCCTCTAAACATTTCTAGGTAAGTTTCAGTGATGCATTTAAACTTAATAAACTTATGAAATTCTCAAGTCACTCCCCAGATTGAAACCTTTCATGAGCGTCCCATGCCCTTGCAGTGAAGTCTAAACTCTTTACTGTATGACTGGACCTTGTACCACTCATCACTTACTCTCTACACGCTGATTATATTAGGCAGGTGAATGCTACTATATGCCTTTCCTTGAGAACATCTCTCTAGCCGGGTTAGGTGTCCACAGCGCCTGTTCTTTTCCCCTGCGGCAGCCCCACATTTGCAATCATTTAATCATTTATATGAAATAATTTGTTTGGGGCCATGTCTCACTTGTTCACTACTGTGACCTCAGTGTCCAGCGTATAGAAGGCACTCGAAAATATTTGCTGACTCACTGGTTGACTTCTTGCTTTTTGTGGTTGTGTGTGAATTTAATCTTAGTTGTATGAGTTTAGCCCACTTTGAACTTGTGATAAACTATTTCAGGTTCTCTAAAGATGGGTGATTCTTTGGTGTTTATTTGTTTGTTTGTTTTAAAGAATTGCATGCAGGAGCTTAGGAGCAAAAAGAAACAGCTATAAAGACTCTGTGTGTGGGCAGACCTGTAATGCATTAGGCCCCAGGTGACCCAGTGATGCCTGAGATGGGGACAGGCCTCTTCTTCCCATCTTTAATTAGAACCCATCTGTGGCAACATTTGAAGGCTACTTCCAATGGCTCTGCAAGTCTGGGCCTGGGTCAGGTAGAGCCATAGCCAGAACTGAGTAGTAACGGTAGACAACGTAGCAACAGATGGAGTAGTTTACAAACATGTATGAGACTCTGGCCACTTCCAGAAAAAAAACAGAAGACAGGAGCAGGGCTAAGGTCCAGCAATCAAGCCCAAAGTCAATTGAACCACTCTAATTTGGACATTTAAGAAACTGTGAGCTTCTTTTCCCTCCACCACTACTACTGGTTAATACAAAATAATTACATATACCTCGTAATAGAAGTGTATATTAAGCCTGAGTTATGACTAGTTAGGCTTCTCCATTCCAACACAAACCTGTTCCATATTTCGGTTCATGAGTTTCATGGATGTTCCAGTTAAAATTCTTCGCACAGATAGACTCCACATGGGTGTACCTTGTTGCATAAAATAGGAG